TTAAAAGTATCAACAACTCTTATTAGAATTAGCACACAATACCTGTTATTAATCATTTTTCAAATTTAATAATGAAATGTACTGTACATACAATAAAGAAGGGTACCAATGGGTAACTCTATAGCTGACATCTTAAGAGAAAAGTAATACATAAACTAAAACAAAAAATAATTGTGAAATTCAACAAAAATTACATGTTATCCATGATATATAAATGACATTGTTAAAGTATAACAGAAGAAACCAAACATAAGTTATTTTTGGCAAAATGATACAGACTGTATTTATTTTTATATAAGTAAGGTCTTAAACTTGAATGTGCATTTCATAGATCCAGACATTACCTTAAAGCATAGTAAATGAATATATATCGCAGAGATAATTTCCTGTGAAACTTTTACAACTTTGTAGCTACTTCTCTTTCCTAGAAACAAGTAGCAACAGTATGGGATAGAGGGATACAGACACTGTATGTTATCCTGTTATAAATTTGTCCACAATTATTGCAACTACTGCTCAGAGACATAGCTACCGTGGAGATAAGGTGCACGAATCATGAGGGTGCAAGTTAGAAATGGTGAAATAAAAACATGTAAAATCATTTGTAAAAAATTTTGTATTTAATAATTAATCAATTAACTATTAGATTTGAATCCGTTCAACAATTATGTACACTTTTTAAGTGCTTATCACTTGCATATCTTGTGGCATCATCTGATAAAAATATTCTGGAAGGATCAGAATTGTTACAATCAACATATCCATCCAACATTTTGCTTAGTTTTGGACCTCAACTGCTTCGATTTAAAATGTGTTTTTATACTTAAGTAGGCTAAAAGAAATTACTTCTAAATGTGAAGTTGCTGAACTACTTTTAATTCACACCACAACCTCAAGTAGCTTCTCCAACATTACTGCAGCATGCCTCATTTTTTTTAACTTTATGGGTGACGACAGTGACAGCAGAACAAAGTTTTGCAAAACTAAAATTAATCAAAGCTTATTTAAGAAGCAGCATGTCACAACACTATCTTAGCTCTGGCTACTGTATCAATTGAAAAAACAATAGCTTGTCAATTTGATCTGGAGAAAGTGACTGACTGATTTGCAAATGAAAAAGCAAGAAAATAACAATTTTGAAGTTTTTTTTTATGTATTATTACATATTTGTCATGAAACTAAACTGCATACATTTTGTCAATACAATTAATATACTATGTAGTAAATATTATTAGGTACTCCATACTTAAAGAATTATATTTTGTCGTATTCTATTTATCCAGTAGATAAAAAATATATGAATATATCATATTTGTATTTATTAAATTGAATATCTTATTGTTGAAATGCCTTGAATCTCATATAAATTATTATTAAGTAAGGTTTTAAATTGAAATAATTAGATATATTTTTTTAAACTAAATGTTAAAAATAAATTTCACAAGACCTCTTCTGAGGATCAAGGGGGCGCACAGATTCTACTTGCTCCAGGGCACTGAACATGTAGCTAAGCCACTGCTACTGCTCCAGACTACTGACAATGGTATATGATCAAAATGGCATCCCATCTGGTCCCATTAGTGCTTGATGGGCAACAAATCTGGAGAAACTGGGCAAGCTAAGGAAGTGTAATATGATAAGTTACATTCTCAAGAATATGTCTATGTGACCAAGCATTATCTTGCTGGAAAATGGCTGTTTGCAGCCCTGCCGTAAAAGAAAGTACAAGGGTACAAAATTTCCTAAATGTATTACTGTGCCATTTATGTCCATCATACCACTAATAGAGATGATCAACTGTCATACAAGATGGCTCCCCAGAGCAGCATACCATCAAAGCAATGTGCTACTAAACAATTGAAGTCTTCATCAGTGGTTTTCCACACTAACATGGCAGTCATTTGTTCCTAAATATAACCAGAATTCATCACTAAAGACAATACGCTGCTACACTGTAGCAGTCCATGCTTCTTTCATTACACCACTGAAAACAAACCAAACAATGATGGGATGCTAATGGTAGAATATGTAGTGGTCACTGTGCATGCAAATTTTCTTCTGCTAGATTCCTATCTATGATATGTGAAGAGACAGGGTTCCTTAGCAATGCTTCCAGCTATTTTTGGATAATGGACAAAGATACAAAAATGACATTGTAGCTGTGCTATCTCACAATGAGATTATGACTCTTTTGGAAGTCTGGGACATCCAAGCCAGCCTGCCTGCCACATATACAGTTCACTGCATAAATGTTTGCATCTAATTCTAAGCAATTAGCATGAGCAGAAATTGAGTACATGCAGCCAAGGTCAGTTCTACCTATTATCAAAGCAGTTTGAAATGGACTGTTTTGTTCTGCAACATGTTGGGTGAGGAAAATGACTGATGGGAATCTTTCAGGGCTCTCTGCCAACAATACTAATTGCTGCTCGCTATTATAGCCTTGCGTGCATCACTCACGCAAGGCTATAATACACTTCATGACTAAAGTTTTTATTGTAATACAGTAAAACCTCGAAAACTCGGCCTAATGTGGACCGAAGGGTGGCCGAGTTTGTGAAAATGCTGGGTTATCAGGAATGGAGTTAAAAAAATAAGTACGAGTGTTTCCTCAGAAAATACTATACTGTACTTGTATGTATTGTTTACTTGAGAATATAACAGAGAATAAACTGCCCAAATACCCCTAAACAAAGGAAAAGTACGTCCTTTATGAAGGCATAGAGCCTTTACTACATGAAAATGAAAATTAATGAATACACTGTGTACAGTAATTTACCTGAAAAGACAGATCTCAGAAAAATACTTTATGAGATCTTTTATACTTTTATAAAGCTGTCTATAATGAAAATTAATTAACTAAGGATTTTTTTGCCCTGCCAGTGTGTGGCCGAGTTATCCGGAGTGCCGGGTTATCGAGAGCCGAGTTTTCGAGGTTCTACTGTATTGCAAAATTGCTGCCATCACAATGAAAATTTTTGTTTCATAAAAATATTTATTGGTGAAACTGATAAAATTCATGGAAATTTTTGCATATATCTACCTCATCCTTATACTATACTTTGTATGTTTTATAAATGAAATGATTAAACTTAATTTGATTACTGTAACTTTTGTAATTTACAGGGGAGTGACATTTGATATGTTTATTTCTTCCCTTTATCCAATCAAATTTCAAAAGAGTAAACATAGGAAACCTGAGAAGGAAAAAAATTACCTAAATAAATGATAAAATCATAATTTCTGGTATGCAATGGCCATAATTTCACAACCTTACAATAAAAACTCTAGCCATGTGCACATGGCATTGTGTGAGTGATGCATACAAGGCTATAATGGTAAGCAGCAATTAGTATTGTTGAAAGAGAGACCTAAAAAATGCCCGTCAATCATTTTCCTCACCTAACATGTTGTAGAACAAACCAGTCCATTTCAAACTGATTTGATAACAGGTAAAATTGACCTTGGCTGCATGTGCTCAACTTATACTCATGCTAATTGCTTAGAATTAAATGCAAACATTTATGCAGCAAACAGTACATGCCCTGATGTATTCATTGTCACCAACATCTCCTCAGTCAGATCAGAATAACCCATCTGGCATGCAATTTGGTGAAACAGCCTTCCTGCTATGATGATCTGATGATGTGACCTTTCTCAAGCACTGTTAGTAGAGCAAAATGTCTGATTTCACCAGACAGACATGGCTGGCATTCAAAGACCTTAAAACAACATGTGCATTGAAAATTCTGAACACTGTGCAATTTTTTTGCATGATACTGGGGTAATGATTTTTAAGGTACTGCGGTAACATTCCCTGGCATTCAATTGGACCAATCATCATTTACATATCTGTATGCTGAGATTTACAATTGGACAATTCTATCTGGGTGCATAACTTTCAATAAGCATATTCATTAGAATACTAACATTTTATCTGTTGTATATATTCTTAGTCTCAGATGATCCATGGACATACAAGATTACAACCTTCATAGCCCTCATAAAAAGAATATTCACACATTATATGAATATACAAGATACAGTAAAGTAAAAAAATTACAGTATCAGTATATCAAAGAAATGGCTATAAACCATGAATATAAAAATAGCCTTATTAAACCATATTCAAAACCATGGACCAAAAAAATAATATACAATGGAAAAAATAGAAAGCTTACACAAAAAATTAATGATCAAAATTTTAATATTGTATACAAATGCAACCTACAGTTTTCAGCCTAATAAGAAATTATAAATAACCACAAAATCAAAATAAAATAACTTTCCAGTTTACAACATCCCAATAAAAAAAAATACATGGAAAAGAAAAATGTCATATATCAAAGGCACTTAATGCAACAAGTAATGAAATCTGTGACATATAAGAAATGGAAGTTGTGCAATTATAGAATTGTCTGGTATATACTGTAACAGAGAATACATCCATTCTTGGTACTGTATTAACAAAATAAACAATAAATAAATGCTATGTAACAGCATTCTAAAATGTATTCATTCCATTGCCATTTAAGAGTTACTGCTGAGGATGTTCTTATAAAAGGACAAAAATATTTCTGATCAAAAACAATTTGTTTGGTTCCTGAAAATAGCATTTATTCATTGTTTATATATTGTATTGCAGTAAAGAGAAACAAGAATTTTTGAACCTTACTACATATGTATTAAACTTGATCTTGTGACAGACAGATGCTATCATTGCTAATCAAATAATGTTCAACTCTTTCTAATAAGTCTGATGAAATTAAAAGCTACTCTGTATATTAAGGCACTCATAGCCATAGGCTTATAGATTTGTGGCTGAAACAAGTTTAGTACAAAGAACAATGTTGGGTGAAGCATTAAACTTATGATATATGCCAAAAACTATACCTGGTCCCTAAGGAAGATGTGTAAGTTTAAAAGTGAAATAGTTATGGTGAAAAATTAAATGGTTTTTAGAGTCACATTAATTAATTAATTAATACAACAAACATTACCAGTATTCTTTAGATAAACTCAACCATATCAAAATTTGAAAAATAGAACAGATTTAGAACACTAAAATTGGAACAAAAGTATGAACATTTGAATCTGGTTCTAACTCACAGACTAATATAAGACAAAATAACACAAGTTCTGATATGGTTGAATTTACCATATGAAAACCATTAATTTTAGTTTAAAATGTTATTAATTAGATTTTGTGGAAAGTTGAAAGCATTGATTTGTTCTCAAAATAGACTTCTGTTGGAAAAAAGCATTCTAAAGTTTTAAAAATAACTTTTGATCACTTCTGAGAATGCAACTCTGAAAATATCAATAATTTCAACTTAAAAATCAAAATTTAAATGAGTTTAAACAAGTTTGAAAATCTTAAACCAGTCATTTATTCAGAAAGTTTCATTACTAAAGCCAACTACTACCATATGCTATCGGGCTATATAACGGCTAGAAAGTTTCATTGCTAAGCTTACGAACATTCCTTCAATTGCCGTATATCATCGGGCTGTAGTTTGGTAATAATAATTAATTAATTTATAATTATTATTACCAAATTAAAGCCCAACGATATAAGGCAACTGTGTTATTGCAATGTATCAGGTGTTGTTAAGATGTTTATATTTATGAACATTCACAATCACATTTTTAAATCACTAAATTTTTCTGAAACAGTTCAGTTAACTTGTAAATAAAATCAATACAAAACAACAAATATTTCTTCATCTTTAAAATGGAGATAACTATGATTTATTTCTCTTATTAAAATAAAACACCGTTGAATAAATTAAATATGTAAATAATTTGAATGTAGAAAGTTTAGTACTGTTTTGTATCATTACTTGATGGCTGTAATTTTAGGTTTTTGATGTTATTAAGCCTTACTTGTATGGCTTAATAGTATCAAATCATAATGAAGCTTTGCATGTAGGTAAATCATACTTAAAATATGATTTGGTAAAGTATTTCTACGTAGAGAGAAATACAAAATTTTGCTAGATACGTCCGAAATAAAATGAATTCGATCAGAAAATTTAAAACGAACATCTCATTATCATTTTTCCATATCTCAATTATAAAATATTATAAATTTTACAAAATGATTCGTTTAAGCTGGATAAACCTACCTAAACCGGCCAAAATCCGATTTAAAATGACGTCAAAATAGTTCTAATAATGAACATCGTGACAAAGGGCATAATACTGTTGATATACATTAAACACGTCTCATGCATGTTTATCCTTAATTGAATGTCCCTCTCTTAATCACGTGAAACCAATTTTTTATGTCGTCTGCTTGTATTGGTTATTTTCAAAACGAACATGAAATATTTCGTAGTATCTAATTTAATTTAAAATAATTTATTTGTATTAATAATAAATTTTCTTAAATGTAAAACTTCTAAAACTTTACAGCTGCCAACTTTACTGTATAATAATTTTATAAATAGCGTATTGGAAACACGTGCGCTTAAAAAGTAAGAATGATTCGGCGCGGTAATTGGCTGCAATTGTCATGTGATTTTGATGTCATACCTTTTTTTCCTCTAGAGTGCGTGATTATTAGGGTTTCTCAAACGGGATTCCAGGATCCCGGTTGTTTTTTAACCCGGGAAATATCCCGGGAAATTTTTCTTATCCCGGGAAATCCCGCAAATTTCTTAAAAATTCACTTTTTTTCTTATTTTGTGTTAAGGTTGAGGAATTTTGCAAATAGAAAGCATAATTAACTCATAAACTGTCAGAATACATTTGTATTTATCAATTTTAAACCTACTTATTAGTTTCTTAAGTTTTTTGTCATTAATNTTGCTATTCGGCCGAATACCGAATATTTAATCACTATTCGGCCGAATACCGAATACCTAAAAATAGGAATAAGAAATAACAAAAACATAGTACTGTAAATTAATCATTTTGGTATTTAGATTTAATGTTATCGGGTTAGTGTTGTTTGTTTATATTTATTTATAACTTATAACATGCACAAAATAAAAAAGAAAATAATATTAGGCACATGTATTCACAATTTATAATTACAAAGATCAGCACACATACATACCTATTCGTTCGAGCCTTCCTTCTTTTCAAGAGCTCGTCTTTGCTCTTCCCTTTCTCTTTCCTCTATCGCTCTAGTCCACGTGTGCCTATATATATATATATCATAATACGCGCGCACGATACTTTCGATTCGTCACTTTTCCATCGTAGATTTCTCACTATACAATTACGTGACTCATAGCCTGGTGATAACGGAGAAAAGAGACAAGAGAGGACGTCGGTATAAGTCATAGTTATGATTTCACAGATTCGAGACAGCTCGGTAGCCCGAACGGCCCCAGTCTTTCGCCCGTGCACGCAAAGTGACTTTCATTACAAGCGTTTAGCTTTTCGAAGTCTATGACAACAATTGTTTAGCATTGACGGCCACGAATTTCGCCCCAATAAGCTGACTCGACTTGTTCGATTATGATATCGACTCAATTTCATATTTATTTTCACATTTTCACTTCGCGGTCCTCCTCTGTTCTTTTTCCTTTATTTACACTGTACGTCATTTCATTGTTATCGACATTTGATATCATCACTTATCACATACTGTCAAGACACTCTTGTCTGTCCATTACAACTATCAAGAATTAACGGGATTGACGAAGCGTAGTGACAGCGCGCCAATACAGAGCGGGGTCCTTGCCATAATGCGGTTTGCGCGCCAATTTTCGTACGTGCGATAATCAAGCCGAATAGTTTGGCCGAATATTCGGTATTCGGCCTGAGGCCGAATATACTATTCGTTGCAACACTAGCACTGATTATGTTATAGAGGCGATATAAAAATTAGTAGGATTGTTTTTTTCTGGGACAAAATCATAATATGATTGGGGGTTGGTGTTGCTCACGTCCGTAGGTTTAACCACAAAGTACCCCACACGTGACCCCTGGGTGGTGCTAAGCGAGCAACAGTCTTCTGGCAGCCAGTCTATCTGAAAGATCTCCTGGCTACTCATACATGACACCGCAAACTTTCAAAAACAGTTTTTCTGGAAGCTTTTTTAAGAGCTCAGGGCGACACTCCCGTATACTTGGAACCACCATGCAGATATGCCAGCTTAACATAGAGCAATGGTTCTCAACGGGGGTACATGTACCCCTAGGGGTACAAGCGTAAATCGAAAGGGTACATCTAACTTTCATTATAAAATGACGTATGTTAATCAATTTGCTGTAAATTATTAACACAAGAAACAAGATATGACAAAAACTTGCTTTAAAATATCCCAGTATGAACACCGATTTCCCTTTTAATAGTCCAAACAATTTGTTTATCCACTTGATTTGCCCGTCTATTTGCGCCGTTAGTGCCGAGTGAACCTGTAGTCTAGAAAAATTACGGTTTAACCGAGCATTAATTTTAGAATAGAAAAAATTTTTTATTCTATTCTATAATTATTACTCAAAATGATTGGGGCTTTTCATGTTTTTACTGACTACTGGTATTAAGAATAACGAGGCCTGGATCATACCCCTACCATGCAATGCGTGTCACTGCATGCGCGCATTACTTGATATTTAGCAAATTTAGACATTACGTTTGTTACAAAAATTGAAAGATTTATTTATTGTTCTGCACGTTATAAATTCACAGCCTTACATTGTAAGTACACAATTATAATCTCTATTTAACAACGTGGGAACCAAATTTTGAAAAAATTGCTGAAGATTTATCGCAACAAATATCCCATTAAATTTTGTTAGAAATTATTGTGGAATAATTTAAATTTTCTTTATTGTTAATTATAATTATTTATTTTTAGGAAATGTAATTTATGCATGTATTCTGTGATTTTATATAATATACTTATCAAATAATAATAAATAAATGTATGTACCGGATTAAATTTATTATTATTTATGTAAAATAAGTAATTCACTTTTAGTTATAGTTAGAGTTTTTTTATGGCATTCAGTTATAAGGGTTATAAGGGCTGTATACATCTAACGCAGTAATTATAAAATTTACATACAAAAATATAAGGGGTACTTGAGAAACAACTAATGGGCTAATGCATCAACAAAAAAAGTTATGAATCACTGACATAGAGGTTATAAGCAAATCAATGTGTGAATATCTGTCAAAATTGCTGTTGGACAATGATGTTGATGTGGTTGCCGTCCAAGAGACACATGTCCCAAATGAAGACCAGTTCCGGAAAAGATGCCACATCCCCGGATTCACTGCAATAGGAGTAACATATGACAGTTCTTATGGTGTCGCAACATATGCAGGGCCGTGCGGTAGATTTTCTAAGTATGATGCAAGTCTTCGAAATGCCGCCCCTTATATGTTTTTTTGCCGCCCTTATATAAATTATTAGTCTTATATAGGCTATAATTGTTATTATTTGGTATATCTTACCAGGGCCGTGCGATAGATTTTCTAAGTATGATGTAAGTCTTTGAAATTCTACCCCTTAAATGTTTTTTATGCCGCCCCTCACGGTGCCGCCTGATGCGGCCGCATCTCTGCATCACAGCACGGCATGGCCCTGAACATATGTACGCAATACCATCAAAAATGTCAACTTACTATCACAGGGAATACAAGAAAACATACAAGGTCGTAACGAAAGTGAACAATGTGACGATCACAAATGTCTACAAGCCGCCTGGTCTTGCTTGGCCAGAAACTGTTCTACCCTCCACTGTACAGTACATCTTTCCATCTATGTAGGGGACTTTAACAGCCACAGTGAAGAGTGGAATTATGCAACTAGTGATGAATGTGGCTTGAGACTCGTTGAATGGGCAGAAATAAACAACCTAGTATTGATATTCTATGCCAAAGACAAAAGTACATTTAGATCAGCAGCCTGGAGAAGAGATTATAATCCAGATCTGTGCTTTGTGAGCTGTGATGATAGAGGCCACCCTCTGCCCATCATGAGGAGGGTACTTGAGGGCTTCCCACACAGCCAACATAGGCCAGTATTGCTTGAAATCGGCATCACTATTCCTTTGATAAAATCTACCCCTCACCCGAGATGGAA